TGAGGCCATTAATAATATCGGTGAATCGAGTAATCATGTTAACAATGAGTTCATCTTGTTTCATGAAAAAGCTTTCAAATTCTTTAACCAATAGATTAATTTTAGTTTTATTGACTTTACTAGTGCCAACATGAGTTACTTTCAATGCATGCCAAATGTCATATGCGAAATCACACGTGCTAATACGATTAAGTTCATTTTTATCTAAGGCTCAATAAAGTAGATTTTTTACTCTAGCATTCAAGGATAATTTCTTTTATCATTTTCATCATATTTCTCTCTAGATTTTGAAATGATTTGACCAGGTTGACCATCAATTTTAATAGTCTTGGTAGGCACATAAGGACCATATTCAATAAATTTTCATATATTATAATCTATTGATTGAATGTATATCATTATCATAGCTTTCCAATAATTATAATGTGTATTATCAAAGAAAGGAGGACGATTAGTATAATGCCCTTCAAAATTTTGAAGATCGTAGTTAGCAATTGCTGAAGATTGTGGAATCTTAATTTTAAAAATGAACATATCGCTCTAATACTAATTGATAGCTCAAGAATGGCTAACCAAGATGGGGTTGAATTGATTATTAAAACTTTTTCGAAAAATTAATATAAATTCAAGCAAGTTAAGGCTAAAAAGATAAAATAAAAAAATAAGCACAAATGTAAATGTGATAAGTAAAAGGGAGAGATGATGCAAACGATATAATTGTGGGGGTTCGATCCAAAACAATTATCTACGTCCTCCGTTACCAAACTCTCCGCCACTAATAAGGCATTTTCACTATATTGATTGACTTGTGATACAATCCAGCCCTTCACAATACTTTCGGTGACTTACAAACGAGAGCAGCGATCCTTATACAATATTGATCTATGAGACCTCAACATGACCCAGAAACTTAAATGAAGTTGATTTTATAATTTGAAACTTCTATCTTAATAAATGATATGATCAAATTAAACACCAAGAGAGAAATATGTTAAGACTTTAATTTATAGTAATGAATGAAACTCTAGTGTTAGGTGAAAAAATGTTGATGAGTAGAATAATTTTCAAAAGTTAATTCAATCAAAAGTTTTTCAAAGTAAATGATTTAAAAAATATAAATCAATATAGCTTTACTCAAAAATATCTCACATAAATCCTTTTACAAGTGTTGTATTGAATGTAAAGTGAAGTAGTATTTATAACAGTCAAAATGCCAAAATTTCTGACCAACTGGACGACCTATCCAGATGTCCGCTTACTGAATCGGACAACCAAACTAGTCGTTGTGCGTCAGAATTCAGAATGGTTAAAAATTTGATCGTTGGACGAACCAAATGTTCGGTTGAACAAATTTTCTCAAATTTTTCTTTCTTTCTTTATTTTGAAAAATGTAGGCTTTTGAAATATATTTTTACTTAATTTTTCAAGATAAGTGATAATTGTAAAAAGTTTAAAAATCAAGTGGAAATTTTTATCCTTTTGAAAATTAATTTTTATGCAAACGTTTTTATGAATAATTTATCTCGTGCATAAAAATTCAACTTTTGAGCTTCTAGTGATTCATTGATAATGATTAAAGTATTTTACCTTTACATATGAATCTAAATCATCTAAATCTAATATTTTCAGTGAATACTTGATTCGACGTGAATGCTTTATTTGTTCTTGTCTTTAATTGATTTGACGTGAAGGATTGACTTCCATTTCGATTTTTTTAAATCGAAAATCGTGAGTCTTTTGGTAACAATCATTTTGTCTTCAATTGATCAATTTGGCCATAATAGATATGAAGACTTGAATTCAATTGTTAGAGATAAAACAATTTGTTTGTCATAATCAAAATATGAGATCAACCATAGGTCAACACATATTTCCATCTATATCAAGTCCTAACGTTTCTCTTTAAAAAAACATCTGTTTGACAATTATGCTCTCAAAACTTTTTTTTTTCAAACTCATTTTCAATCAAATATTCTCACAATATAATATTTTGCATTTAAAACCAAAAGCTTTTTTCTACTTTGTACCCCACATATTCTTCAAAAAATTCACTATTTCAAAACTCATTTTTTCAAACAAAACTCATTTTAATGGTTATCATATATCTCTTTGGTGGATTCTCACGAGTAGATAGTCTAGTTATGCCATTGTTTGTCCCCCATTCTTTCAAAACTCATTTTTTATATACTCATTTTCAACAACACATTCACATCATAAAATATTTTACACGTAAACTCAATATTTTTTCCTACTTTTTAGTCACACATTCTCAAAAAATTCATTATTCAAAACAATGTTTTTTCAAAAAAACGACCACCAAACGGGGGCTAAAACATTGAGGTTTATATTTATAATATTACTAAGGATACAAATAATTATAAAAGTTGTCCAATTGTGGAGGTATTGGATATTTTTGTGTACTTCTAAAAACTTAACAAACTTGATCATTGCATCGAGGTGCTAGAGTAACTCAACTATTGAGTCAAGTTTATCCCTAAAGTAGATCAATCGTCGAGTCAAATAAGTGAATTGAATGAGTGTTTACAACAAATATGGCAAAAAAAAAAAAAAAACATATAAGTCGTTTCGATATGATTAAATTGAATATTCAACTTATCAAAAGGGCATTTTAAACAACAAAAAGCTAAAAAAAGTGATCTTTTTTTTATGTTTTATTCTTTTTAACGATCACTTTCCAACTTTGACTATTGTGTCTTGTAACGTGACTATTTGAAATATTGTCTCAAAAATTATGACAAGTTGAGTTTTATTTAAGAGTGAGCTCTATATGGCCCCCATGTTCCATGTTTTTTGTTTACTATATATTTGAGATCAATAAGATTAAATTGAAGACGATACTTCCATTTTCAAAAATCATCTTGATCCAATACGGTTTGTATTGTCTTAACACGTCGTACTATCGTAATCCTCTCAAAATGTAAATAAAAAACGTAATTCATTGACGATATTAACTCCACAAAACCCTAAATCCATCGATCGTGAAAACGTCGACCTCCCGACTTAACAAATGACCTATTTACGTGTCTAATTGTCATAAATATTTTTCCAAATTCAGATATTAATTGGACAAAATTCCACTTAATTGCATGCCAGCCTAGTCCCATCCCATCAATGTAAAAGTATAATTGCAAGTTAAGATCCAAAGAGACTATTCCACATAGGAATGTGAGAAAGTTTCAGGTTTTGTCAAACAAATGGATCTGCAAAGATAATAAAGCAAACGTGGTCGGTCACATAAGATTGTATTCTTTGTCAAAAGGGCATCATTTACTAGTGGCATTTTGTCATCTGTTTGCCTCTCTCACTCTGTTGAAAAAGTGAAAAAGAATCTTCAGCAAAAGAAAAGTGACCTATTTTTTTATTTTCATTCATATAGACACAAATATTTGTAAAGAGCATACCAAGTGTAATATAGGTTTCAATAATTAGATGAGTACAAAGAGGGACATTTACCAATCGAAGATAGAATACGAAGTCATTGTGTTATCAATCGATGAAAGAACGTGGATAGACGCCTTTAAAAGAACCTGAAGATCTATATGACTATGTAAAAAGTAATAAACATCAGTTTTTTGGACATTGGGACTATTGTCACATCATCTAATAAATTCGAAATTAGTCATTGGGGACAATGTAGTAGTAACCGCACTACCATATAAACTGACAGCTAGTGATGATGAATAGCGTTATTAAGAGAAAATAGGCTTTCGAATAATTTCTCTTGGGCATCGAGTTGGCTCATGGGCTTGACCCTTATTCTCAGCTTGTGTTCTAGATGAGCTCGAGCTTTTGGGCTCATGATCCAAGCCAGGCCTGGCTCGTTAGCCATGTCGATTCTGAATTTAAAAGAAAAATAAAAAAAGAGACAAATACAATAGTTAAGTGATTAAATAAAGTTGAATTATGCTTCTTGTACATCACCCTTTACACAATGGGTGGCATAATGGTCAAATGACGCCTCCTCATTGGAGGGCACCCCTCCAATAAGGAGGCGACATTTGGCCATTATGTCACCTCTTGTGTAAGAGGGTGATATACCCCTAGTAAGACCGAATAAAGTTTCATACACTGTCAGGACTTATATGTCGTTTGTATGATAAATTACAAATAAAACATTATGGAACTACAACACAAAACTTCGAAAAATAATTATTACGACAAATACAATAATATATTAGGTCAACTAAAATAATTAGAGCATCTCTAAGTGGCTCTTTAAAAGATAAATACTCTCTATTTTAAAAAGTTAATCTTTAAAATTATGTTCCCAAAAACTATTCAAATTAAAATTTTAAAATAGAGAGTGAATTTTGAGAGCTGAATTTATTTTCTATAATTAAATGCATTCTAAATATTTCAAAATAGAGTCTCTTGAATGAACATGGACTGTTCGTGGTTGAAGCTCATGGGCACCCCGAACTATCCAATTTGTGTCTAGCTTGTTTAGCCTACAGGTTTAGGTACTTGGACTCGACTCGACCTGACCTGCTAAGCCAAAATTTCAGTTGGTTCGGACCGGCTCATCTAGAAATGAACCGTGGACTGCTCCAGCCCGAGTTTCCCCATGCTGGTCTCAAGCTTGCTATCCGCTCGACTCGTTGTCACCCATTCGCCACTGAGACATTTTAAACAGAAAAAGAAAAAAAGAGAGAGAATGTACTGTCAAAAGAAAATATTATCTTAAAGAAGCAAAGTAGCAAGCAATAAAAGAATGAATTTGGCCCTAAGAATTGGCATAAAAGCTGCTTGCACATGAAGTTAAGCACTTTTCTTATCTCTATTATCTCTATCTTCTACCTTTACTCTTACAAATTACAACCCAAAACTCCATTAATTCCCTCTCTCAGTTACGCACAGAACACACACTTGATCTATATATGAATTCTCTCTTTAAACACATAACCTTTCTTTTCTTTCACTTTTGACATGTTCAGACCCATTCTCTAAACTTATCACTGATAAACTGATAAATCTTTGCCATGGCAACTATTAGGAAGCTTGTAGTGGAAGTTATCGATGCGCGTAATCTTCTCCCAAAAGATGGCCATGGAACCTCGAGTCCATACGCGGTTCTTGATTTTTATGGGCAGCGGAGGAAGACAAGGACAGTGGAACGGGATTTGAGTCCTGCATGGAATGAAACCCTAGAATTTAACGTTGGAAAAACATCGGACGTGTTTGGTGACATGCTGGAACTGGATCTTTTTCACGATCGTAATGTCGGACCTACGACAAGGAATAATTTTCTCGGAAGAGTGAGGCTGAGTTCAAGGCAATTTGTGAAAAAAGGAGAGGAGGCTTTGATTTATTATACTTTGGAGAAGAAGAGTATGCTTAGTTGGATTCAGGGTGAGATTGGTTTGAAGATTTATTTTGTTGATGAGGTGGTGCCTCCCCCTTCGCCGCCACCACCACCAACTCCTCCGCCGGCTGAGGAAGTGAAGCCTAAGACACCATCACCACTACCAGCATCCACAGAAGCACCGCCTGAGTCATCTGTACCACCAAGTGATCCACCAACAGCAGAGCCAGGAAAGATAGAAACGCCACCAGAGCCACCATTCGATGGTGACAAGCCCAATGAAGAACCACCACCAGCTCCGCGGACTGAAGCTCCTCCACCACAGGATGAAAATCCCACTCCTGAAGCAGAACAGCAACCTGAAATGAAGCAACAAGAAGAAAAAAATCCAGTGGATCCAACTCCACAGCAGCCAGTACAACTGGATCAAGTGATGTCATCTGTAGCATCTGGAACTCCATTTGAACGCAAAGTCAACAAAATCAACCCTCCTCAACCAGTTAGCCGTGCATCATCAGTTAGTAGCTTCGGGTCCGATATGTCGGATCGAACTACAATTGAGCGGTCCACATTCGACTTGGTCGAAAAAATGCATTACCTCTTTGTTCGGGTGGTTAAAGCCCGATTCCTTCCCACCATGGGCAACCCGGTGGTGAAGATCGATGTTTCTGGTTGTCACGTCATTTCAAAACCAGCTCGAAAAACCACTTTTTTTGAGTGGGACCAGACCTTTGCTTTTAGTCACGACTCACCGGATTATTCTTCCAGACTAGAAATCTCTGTCTGGGACCCAGTTTGCAGCAGCATACCATTAGGACCCACACCTGACGTGGCAGGACACGATTTCTTGGGTGGGGTATGCTTTGACGTCAGCGAAATCCCTCTTCGGGATCCGCCTGATAGTCCTTTGGCTCCACAATGGTATAGACTCGAAGAAGGTGGGGCAAACAAGGGTGACCTCATGCTCGCCACGTGGCTAGGGACGCAAGCCGATGAATCATTCCCCGATGCGTGGAAGACCGACGCTGCTGGTAATCCTAGTTCAAAATCCAAAATCTACCAATCTCCAAAATTGTGGTACTTGAGATCAAGCATAATTGAAGCACAAGACATCTCCTTGATAACGCCGTCAAAAGATATATCATATCAAATCAAAGTTCAACTCGGATTTCAAGTTCTAAAAACAAAATTTTTCGTGACAAGTAGCGGGGCTCCATCGTGGAACGAAGATCTAATTTTTGTTGCAGCCGAGCCATTTACCGAGCACCACCTCATATTTTCGTTGATCCAAAAAAGGTCACCAAAAGAGCAAGTAGTCATGGGCGTCACTAGCATACCCCTCGCGTCCATTGAGCGCCGTGTGGACGACCGCAATGTGGTGTCAAGATGGTTCACTCTTGAGGCTCCTAGTGAAGAAAAGAGAGTATACCGCGGTAGGGTCCACTTGAGGCTATGTTTCGACGGTGGATATCATGTGATGGATGAGGGGGCCCACATGTGTAGTGATTATCGACCGACCGCTAGGCAGCTTTGGAAACCCCCTATTGGTAGTGTTGAATTGGGAATTATTGGGTGCAAGAATCTGTTACCAATGAAAACAAAGGGGTCTACTGATGCTTATGCAGTGGCGAAGTATGGTAGTAAATGGATACGTACACGTACAATTTCTGATAGTTTGGATCCAAAATGGAATGAGCAGTACACTTGGAGGGTGTATGATCCATCTACTGTCTTGACTATTGGAGTATTTGATAGTTGGGAAGTATTTGAAATGGACGGCTATAAAGAGGCCACAAGACCCGATTTTCGTATTGGAAAGGTACGTATTCGTATATCTACGTTGACTACAGGTAAGGTGTATCGAAATACATTTCCATTGCTTTCCTTGTCACAAGCTGGTTTGAAGAAAATGGGTGAGATAGAATTGGCTGTTCGATTTGTACGTGCAACACCCACACTCGATCTCTTACACCTGTATTCGCAACCGATATTGCCCATTATGCACCATCTTAGGCCAATTGGTGTAGTTCAACAAGAAGCATTGAGGGTGATATCAGTCAAGATAGTGGCTGTACACTTATCTCGATCAGAACCGCCCCTTAGGCACGAGGTGGTGACTTACATGCTTGATGCTGACTCGCACACATTTAGCATGCGAAAGGTTCGAGCTAATTGGTATAGAATCATCAATGTGATTGCAGGGGTGATAGACGTGTTCAAATGGATCGATGACACCCGTGCATGGAAAAACCCTACTGCTACAATCCTCGTACACGCGTTGTTGGTGATGCTCGTTTGGTTTCCGGATTTAATTGTGCCAACATTGGCATTCTATGTATTTGTGATGGGTGCTTGGAATTATAGGTTTCGATCGAAGACCTCATTGCCACACTTGGATCCAAAGATTTCACTAGCCGAGTCAATTGACCGAGAAGAACTAGATGAAGAGTTCGATGCAATGCCATGTACGAGGCCTAATGAAGTCGTGCGTGCTAGGTATGATAAGTTACGAATGTTGGGGGCACGTGTACAAACCGTGTTAGGAGATTTGGCGACACAAGCCGAGCGCGTGCAAGCATTGGTAATGTGGCGCGACCCACGTGCGACGGGGATTTTCATTGGACTGTGTTTCATTGTGGCATTTATATTGTATTTGGTACCGTCAAAGATGGTGGCTATGGCATTTGGATTTTATTATCTGAGGCATCCAATATTTAGGGACAGAATGCCATCACCAGCTCTCAATTTCTTTCGAAGGCTGCCTTCTCTATCAGATAGAATGCTGTAATTTGGAAACTATCATCGATTGTGTTGCTTAGTTTATATCTCTTAAAAGTTCATCTCTGATGCAATCTGATGGAAACTCTTGCCGTACTGATTGGCAAATGAATAAACGTACATTGTCTAGACTCAGTCTAGTATTAGAAATTTTGTTACTCAATAATATTTATATTTTCTTTCTAAATTTATTTTCATATCCAAATTTGGATGGGATTTGTTCAAATAAAGAAATCAACTCTAATTTTATTATATGAGTTCAAGGAGAAACTACAGATCCAGTTCAACTTTATAATAAAAAGAAAAACGAGGGTAACTAACTAAAAACAAACTTATAACAATCAAGTCCCTGAACTATGAAACATGACTAATTAAGTCCTTTTAGTAATAACTTGTACATCCCCCCTCAAGTTGGAGATTGATGAAAATCCATCAAACCCAACTTGGAAAGTAAGAATTTGAACTGAGGAGACGGAAGAGATTTTGTGAAGATGTCCGCCGCCTGATCATTAGAAGAAATGTGTTGAGGATGAACAAGACCAGCTTTGTACTGATTCCTAACCACGTGACAATCAATGTCAAGATGTTTGGTACGTTCATGTAAAACCGGATTTGCACTGATATGTAAAGCTGCTTGGTTGTCGCACCAGAGAGGAATTGGAAGGCCCGGGCTGACACAGAAATCTTGAAGAAGATATGAAATCCACATAATTTTACACACAGTTGCAGCCATACTTCGATATTCAGCTTCGACAGAACTACGAGAAACCGTCTGCTGCTTCTTTGATCTCCAGGAGATAAGAGCTCCACCCAGAAATATACAGTAACCAGTTAAGGACTTCCTAGAGTCAGGGCAAGATGCCCAGTCCGCATCACAGTAAGCCGTAAGGTTGAAATTGCTAGAAGAAGGGAAAAACAGGCCTGTAGACATAGTACCTTTGATGTACTTTAGTAAATGAATTGCAGATTCCCAGTGAGCCTCAGTTGGTAAATTAACGAACTGACTCAGTTGTTGAACCGCATAAGAGATGTCTGGTCTGGTAAGATTAAGGTAAAGCAATCTTCCCACAAGCCTCTGATATTGATCAGGGTGAGAATATAAGACACCATCTGCAGCAAACTTATGACCTTTAGGTAGTGGTACAGCCATAGGTTTTGAACCCATCAGGCCTACATCAGTGACAATATCCATAGCATACTTCCGTTGATTAAGGTATAACCCGTCTGAACATCTGGCAATTTCGATTCCCAAAAAATATTTAGCTAAGCCTAGATCTTTAATGGTAAAAGTCGTATCCAAAAATTGCTTGACTCTCTGTATCTCCTGATCATTAGTTCCTGTAATGAGCACATCGTCTACATAGACAAGAAGAATGGTGAGATCATGTTTAGTATGAAGGACAAAAAGACAGTTATCATGGGCAGACTATGAGAAGCCAAAAAGTAGCAAATGTTTGCAAAATTCGGAGTTCCATTGTCGACTGGCCTGCTTTAAACCATACAGAGATTTCTTCAATTTACAAACCTCTCCCTCCTTGATATTTTTGTAACCTTCTGGAGGCAATAGGTAAAAATCTTCCTCTACAAAACCGTGCAAGAATGCATTGTTGATATCCAACTGATACACAGGCCAGTCCATGGCAAAAGAAATAGCAAAAAAGATTCTGATTGTAACTGATTTTGCTACAGGAGAAAAGCTATCAACATAATCGATACCAGCCACCTGAGTATACCCTTTTGCGACCAATCTAGCCTTGCATCTGTCCAGGCAACCATCTGGCTTCAATTTTGCCTTATAAACCCATTTGGATCCACTGGGATCTTTACCTGGAGGTAGAGGAACAACTTCCCAGGTCTGATTCTGCCCCAGAGCTGCAAGCTCATCCTCCATAGCTTGAATCCATTCAGTCTTAGTGCTAGCCTCTTTATAGGATTT